ACTGTCAAGTCTGGTCACTAAAAGTTTTTTTATTTGCAGTTCTGTCACAGTCAGTCCTTTATCAGTATATCCTTCATTTAAAGGCAGCTATTATCTGCTAGGCATCATTAAAATATCTATCTATATCTCTTTCTTAATACCATATGAAGCAAGAACTATATCCTTATTACTTAGGAGAAGAAACAAAGGTTCCAAAAAGAACAAATAAATAAATAAATAGGGTCACACAGCCGGTAAATATGTCTGAGCTGTCTTCATCACTTAGTGGAATCCATAATGATTATTTTTTTCTGTAACCCTGGTATGAAATTAGATTTAAGAAAACTTTTATGAGCAGAAAGGCTCCTAACCCTCACACCTGTGTGATACTCCACGAATTCTGACCATTTTTTATGTCCTGCTCCCAGTGCGTTTTGAGTTGTGAGTTATGTGCAGAAACTCAGTATGTTCAGTCTGGCACGCGTATTTCTTCCCTATCTTCTACTACCCTGACACCAATATGTGGCAGCTTAGATCAAATTTCCTAATCCATGATTCATATACCTTATGGGATTTTGAGGCTGCTTTATTTCTGTGTATGTTATATACATAATAGTGTAAGGAACATGGCTGTGTTTTGGTCAAAGATAGGCTGAGGTAGGATGTTTACATCTTAAGTGACTCAGCGAGTATAACTCCACTTGATATCATAGCCATGCAGACATAACATAGAGAAGCTCACCACCATAACCATAACATAGGGAAGGCCATCACTTGGCCACTATTGTCTATAAAAGGTATAATTGCCCTGTCGACACTGTGCAGGCGCTGGCGCCCAAAGAGAAAGCCAAAACTGTCCGTCTTTGCCGACAGAGGAGAACCAGGACACGGCTCAGGTCACTTGTGCCTAGAGACAGAGAAGAGTTAAGCTGCTGACCCTGAAGGCAAGGGAGAGCCAGCTGCACAGCTCTGTGGGTGTGGGGGGAAGGGTGGCAGCACTGCCGGGCTAAGCAGCTGCGACAGGACCGACAGTGTAGACAGCTGGTGTGAGAAAGCTGTTGATAAGAGCTGCCACTGAATAAAACCATATTCACCTGCCTACGTCCGTCTTTGCCAAATGTTCTTTCTGCTTATCCACCCACTCCCACCCGATCTCAACATGACCTATGGCATAGTCGTGAACCTGACAAATGGTATATGTGTAGGTAGGTATATAAAAGAATGTATAATGCATAGATAAGAGTTGAAACCAAACATATGATCAAGATTACCCTCCAAGGCTGTATACAATTAATGGGGTGGGAAATCAAGACTGGTAATTTAGGTTCATCATACAGAGCAAAATGTATAAGCTGAAACTCTTTCTTAAGGATTCCCAGTAGAAGAAATTACTGAGCCTGGATGCCCAAGCAAAATATGATGAAAATTAAAGCTAGAGAAAATTTTATGAGAAAATTAAACAAATCATTAAATGTGGAAACCAGTTAGAATATTTCAATTTGCCTAATGCTACACTTTATTCAGCCTCTGTTTGTCCTTTTTTAGGAACAAGAGCGACTACTAAAAGAGGGATTTCAAAATGAAAGCAGAAAAATGCAAAATGAGATACGGAATCTCCAGAATGCAATGAAACCACCAAGAAGGAGATGTACTATAAGCTAAACACCGGAGCCTTCCTGTAACCCTTACTCAAGGCATAATTGAAACAATTTTTGAATTTGGAACAAGTATCACTATATTTTATGATAATTAGATCTTGTACCATAACACCACAAGTTTTCAAAAACAATATATAATTCGCAAATGATCAAAATCATGTTTTTTTTTCCAAAAAAAGACTGTAAATTGTGCAATAAAGATGCATTTACCTCTGTGCCAACTCAGGAAGTTTCATGAGCTGGTACCATTCAGGAGAATTTTATTCTTCCAGATGACCAGCAGTAGACAAATGGATACTAAGCAGAGTCTTAGGTAAAAGTCGTGGGAAAGATTTGGGCATTGGTCTGGCCAAGTCTACAATGTCCCAGTATCAAGGACAACCACCCTAGCTTCTTAGTAAAGACAATGTACAGTTATCCATTATATCAAGGCTACACAGTCTATGAGCAATAATGTGATTTCTGGATAGTGCCCATGAATAGCCCTCACTGATGAGTTCAAGCTAAAGCAAACCACCTTACACAGAGATCTAGAATTTCTTTATGTTCTCCAGATGAAGGTAGAAGAAACCATGAGCAGGAGTAGGAACTGAGTGATAAACAAATGGTCTAAAGAGGAAAACTTTCTTCTTGTTCAGCTCATCCAGATAATAACTTTAACGGGACACTTTAGACCATTAAACAATTGATGCTGGATTAAACAAAGTCACATAATGCCAATTACACACTCTGTATTTATAGCAATGTATAATTTGTAAAGATGGACTTTAAAAGATGATATGTAACAAAACTGAACTAATTCAATTACTTATTATTTAGAATGCTAAAGCTTATTCTACTCTTTTCTAGTTCTTTATAGCCATACTTGAAATTTTGCTGAGTTTCCCCACAAGAGAATATGGAATGCTTTTTGACATTTTTGAACCATTTAATAATGCTGTTGTGTTTACTTAGTATATGTAGACTTTATCTCTTGTGTCAAAAGTCCTAGGAAAGTGGTTCTTATAGCAATTAAAAATTATTTTTGAACTGAAAATACAATGTATTTCACTAGGCTTCTTATTTCTGATTAACTTTTCTTTTTTTGCAGTTCTTTTTTCAGAAAATAAGGTTTTAGTCTTTATAGCAATGGTTGGCAATCTTTGTGGTAAAATACCAGATAGTAACGATTTATGACTTTGCAGGTCATACAATCTCAATCTCAAGTACTCAGCTCTGCATGTAGTGCAAACACAGACACAGAAAATACATAAACCAATAGGTGTGGCTATGTTCCAAACAATTTTTATTTTCAATAACAAGGTGGCACCCATAAGCCATGGTTTGCAGAACTCTGTTTTACAAAAACATTGGTCAAAGTTTTATGTACCTTTTGTGTTACTCACACTTAAAAAATCATTTGGATTAGTTTATATATATTAGAATCTTGAAAAAACTATGTGGTTATTCAAAATAACACAATAAGGAAAAGGCAGGGAAGCAGCTAATGCCATGAAATCGACATTAATAATCCTGTCTTTCCTAATTGCTTTGAGGCCTCTTATTACCTTGAACTACCTCTGATCCAATCAGACAGCAAATGCCTCCTTCCACAATACAGCGTGGTGCTGCCAAGCACTGCTGCTTCGCCTGACCTGAAACTTCATAGAAGACCCGGTGAGACTACAGGATACTAGATGAAATGTTCGTATAGATATGCTTTATATTTTTTTCCAAGATCTATTCCTACAAAGGTATAAATAAAATATATTTTTATGAGTTGAAATAACTTCACAGTATAAAAGAATAACTCTGCCTTATTATTTTTGAAATGAAAATACAATGTATTTTACTAGGCTTCTTATTTCTGATTAAGTTTTATTTTTTGCAGTTCTTTTTATCAGAAAATAAGGTTTTAGTCTTTATAGCAATGCTTGGCAATCTTTTCTGTAATATACCACTTAGTAATGATTTATGACTTCGCAAGTTTTACAGTCTCTGTCTCAAGTACTCAGCTCTGCATGTAGTGCAAACACAGACATAGAAAATACATACACCAATAGGTGTGGCTATGTTCCCATCAATATTTATTTTCAATAGCAGGGTGGCACCCATAAGCCATAGTTTGCAGAACTCTGCTTTACAGAAACATTAGAGAAGCAAATAATTGCTTCTTTGATAACCAATAAAGTATAAGAAAATCAAAAATCAGCAAAATTAAGTAACTTCCTCCCCAGTTTGGTAGCATTAATACTTAGACCACATTCCAAACCATCTGACTTGGTTTAGTACTTTTCTCTAATATATGCCAGAGTAGCATAAACCTCTCTCTCTAGGGAGGCATGTTGTTTTCCTGTCCTTAGGCCCTCCAATGGTGTGCAAGGGTGCAGGCTATGGTGAGTAGGGCAGAGCAATCACCAGGACCCTGGATGATATGCTTGGGTGCCAGTGGGAGGTGACCTGGGCCTGTTGTCAGACTTCTTGATGTTGTGTGCATACGGCTGCAGCAACAGTTGAGGCAGCATGATCCCCAGGGCCCGGGAAGCATGCTTGGGTGGTGAGTGGTGTGAGAGCCTGTCCTCAGGACACAGAACAGTGTCTGGGCAGGCCAGCCCCAGGACTACTGGAGGGAGGCACATGTAGATGCTTGGTGGCCCTGCTTCATGTGGAAGGTTGAGAGGGTTGCTGTCAGTGGCAGTGGCCCCAGGCGAGTGGATTTCAGAAACTGAGGAGTGTGCATTTTGGCTCCCTTTGTCCTGGGGGCAGCCTCCCTGGTGTGGTGCACTGCCTGTTCCTTACTGCACCACTGAATTCAGCACATGGAACAAAGTTGCAGCCCTCTGGGTGGAAATGAGAACATGTCAGCAGGCCTCCCGGGATGTGGAGATGCAAGGCCTGCGGGCCCCAGAACAGGATACAGTCTGGTGGGGGCTGGGCTCTCAAAACAGTGATGCGCTGCAGCTCTTTGAGTCTTGGGAGTGTTCGCTACCTAACCCAACTAAGGCCGTTTGCATGATTGCGATGGAAAGTCAAACAAGAAAACACAGGGCTTTTGTAGAGGGAAAGGTTTATTTTTAGTAAACTATCAAAGAAATGGGAAAAATGTTCAAATTTGTCTCTCAGATCTGGGGTTTGGGGCAGGTTTTATAAACAGAGGGTAATGAGGTGTGATCTGACTGCTTCGTGCCATGAGGTGATGTCAGGGCTAGATCTAATCAGATCATAGATTAAGCCCTAATGTGTCTGATTCTTAATTCAGCCCTGCTTCTTGGTCCAAGCACTTAGGTTCCACCGTGGTTGCATGCTGAGTGAATCTGGGCATGCTCAGGTAATATAACTTGAAACCAGGAGTCCGTGACAATAGTAAAACAATGCATTATTTTATTTCACAAACTTGAAACACATTGGGTTGGCTCTGCAGTTTCAAATCCCCTGTTTTTGGTTGTTCATTTTCTCAATCTTGAGGGAGAATGGGCGACAAGCACTCTAGCACTTCCTGCTGATAGTAGGCCACAGAACTTGGTTAGAGGAATAAAATTGTTTAGCACTGTGCTGTAAGACTTCCCTGATATCGGGGTTATGTTTCAGAAGGAGTTGTTTGGTTCAGTTTTAGGAAAATACACAAAGTGTTAGCAACTTAAATATTATCTGTTCCAGAGAACAGAAAGAATGCTCAGGTTTTCTAGCCAAAGTTCCCACGTAGGTTCCCAGTCAGGTCTGCTCATTCAATTGAAAATTGAAACTTGAAAATCACTTAGTTGTAATTGGTCAGCGCAGCTGATTTCTAATTGGTCAATACAACTAAGTCCTGACTGGGAGATGCAGGTGAGCTGAAAAACCCCCAAATAATAAGGTATGTGTTTTGGGTGAACTCAGAACATATATGTGACCCCTCATTAGCAAATGGCCCCTTGGCTCAACTTTAAATGTAGGCCCAGTTAGCCACTCAGAATGCATCTTGAAATGCTCAAACTTGTTGGCAGACAACATTGCATCCATCAAGGCATGGAAGTGGTTGGCTATGTGCTTCCGGCTCATCTGGCGTTGGGACAAGTCCTAATGTGTGTGATGGATTATATAGTTTACTGAGAATGACAGCAAGGAAAACTGAGCCAGCCCTCAAGCGGAAAACTGCTCAGGGCATTCTAAAATAATGAACAGTGTATGCATATCATACACTAGTTAAACCAATTCTTTAAACATGGGACATGTGATCCTGCCTCCATTACTCCCTTGTGGAGAATGCTTTCTAGTTTGTTTTTGATCAGTGGTAAGCAGGCACCAGCTGCCTGCCTAGTTTGTCTTTGTTCTATGAGAAAACACAGAACATTTGCTTGTTAATAGTAATCACCTGTTCAGAGAGAATAAATATGTGGGTCAGCATCTGCTCAAGGATCTCAGCTCAGAAGGCTGTTAGCCCACTGATTCCACTTTGCACCGTATCTTTGTGTTTGTTTCTTAATTGCTTCAGTGCTGCTGGGTTGGGGTCTCCATAACCAGGCCGGTCTCAGCACTCTGGTCTCTTCTGGGGACCAGATGATGGCTAGGCATGGTGGCTCAAGCCTGTAATCCTAGCACTTTGGGAGGCCACAGAAGATGGATTACTAGAGCCCAGAAGTTCAAGGCCGTCTTTGGCAACATGCCAAAACCCCATCCCTACAAAAGTTACAAAAATTAGCTATGTGTCTATGGTCCCAGTAACCTGGGAAGCTGAGATAGGAGGATGAATGAGCCCAGGAGGCAGAGGTTGCAGTGAGCCAAGGTCATGCCATGCCACTGTACTCAACCTAGGCAACAGAACAAGACCGTGTCTCAAAAAAAGAAAGAAAAAAACATACTTAGGCTGTTTTTAATGTTTCAATTTTTCTAAGACCATCCCTATTTTTTGCCATCAACACATCTCTAGCTCATCTTCCAGTGCTTATCTCAAAGCCAAACCAGGAGCGAGTCTCCAGGACATTCTGACTTCCACATGAGACATAATAACAAACTTAGAACAGTACAATAATTCTAGCATGTGTCTCCATTCCCTTCCTGAGAATTCACTTTTGGAGCTGACTTTATTTGCTAATGCATGATGGACTCATTTGCTCTGCTAAAATCAACTATTGGAACAAAAACAAAATACTCAAATAGCTAAACTGCATGCCCTCCCAAAAGAAAAAGTAGGTTAAGCAGAGATTTCTGTTACATTTCTATGACATTTGGGTGGTTTTCCAGGGAGAGCTGAGAACATGCTGTGTCACTTACTGATCCCTTCTGTTACGCTTTTTCCAATCATGGTGAAGAAGGCCTCTCAGTTTGGGGTTGGCAGCTTAATCTGATATAGAGCTGGACATAGTGCCTCATCTAACCCTCACTCCCAAATGTAAGATAACTGAAAAAGCACATTTGAGCATAGGAGATTTTGTTAAAGATGTGGGTATAGAAAGTTTGTTCCCTAAGATTTCTCTGATCTCATAACTTGGAGGGGAACCACAAGCCCTTTACTCCACAATAGTGCAGCCCAGCCCACTTCTACCTTGCTAGTTCCCATCTGTCCTCTCCCATGTTCTATCCTCTTCCCTCTACTCACTACCTGGTTTTTCAAAACAAACACAATTTCTTTAACAAAGATATTTAACAATCATTTTTTCTTGCTTAGGTTTTTGCTGACACTTAAATTCTTAAATTCCCAGCTCTGTTTCAACAGGCATTTTAAATCTGTTTACAAACACACACATTTCCCCTTCTATCAGAAATTTTGGGATCAGATATTAATACATTTAACCTTTTTTTCCCTTTTTATAATATGCCACCCCAATAGCCATTCTGCTACAAGTAAAAAGGGAACTGGGTGGGGCACGGAGGCTCACACCGGTAATCCCAGCAATTTAGAAGGCTGAGGTGGGCAGATCACAAGGTCAGGAGATCAAGACTATCTGGCTAATATGGTGAAACCGTGTCTCTACTAAAAATACAAAAAAAAAAAAAAAAAAAAAAATTAGCTGGTCGTGGTGGCATGCACTTGTAATCCCAGCTACTCAGGAGGCTGAGGCAGGAGAATCACTTGAACCCGGGAGGCGGAGGTTGCAGTGAGCCAAGATTTCACCTTTGCACTCCAGCCTGGGTGACAGAGTGAGACTCTGTCTCAAAAAAAAAAAGGAAACTGTATATAAAACCTGTGAGAGTTCCAAATAGTGCACAGACACCATTGGTTTGGAAACTCTGCAGCAAAATCACACACACACACACACACACACACACACACACACACACACAAAACAGAGACATGCAGCTTAAATTAAATTATGTATTTTGAGGAATCTGAGGTTTAGGTACTATGGGTTTATATTTTTAAAAATTAGGCTCTTCATTAGGAAAAATAGCTAATGCATGCTGGGCTTAATACCTAGGTGATGTATGATAGGTGAAACAAACCACCATGGCACACATTTACTTGTGTAATAAACCTGCATATCCTACACATGTACCCTGGAAATTAAAATTAAAATTTAAAAAATCAGGCTCAACTGGGCACAGTGGCTCATTCCTGTAATCCCAGCACTTTGGGAGGCCAAGGTAGGCAGATCACCTGAGGTCAGGAGTTTAAGACCAGCCTGAACAACATGGAGAAACGCTGTCTCTACTAAAAATACAAAATTAGCCAGGCATGGCAGCACATGCCTGTAATCCCAGCTACTCAGGAGGCTGAGGCAGGAGAATTGCTTGAACCCAGGAGGCAGAGGTTGCAGTGAGCCGAGATTGCACAATTGCACTCCAGCCTGGGCAACAAGAGGAAAAACCCGTCTCAAAAAAAAAAAAAAAAAAAATCAGGCTCTCGTTCTGCTAGAACAGAAAAGAAGTAGATCTTAGAAACAAGTTTATTATGAGGCCAAGAACAGTGGCTCACATCTGCAATCCCAAAACTTTGGGAGGCCAAGGCAGGAGAATCACTTAAGTATCAAAGTTCCATTTGTCTATTTTTGCTTTTGTTGGGTGCACTGTTGAAGTCTTACCCATAGAGTATTTGTCTAAACCAATGTCCTGAAGTGTTCCCCCATGTTTTTCTCTAGTATTAATAGTTTTATAGTTGCCTGGCGCCATTTATGAAGAGGATTTCCTTTCTTCAATGTATGTTTTTGGTCTCCTTGTCAAAAATAATTTGGTTATAGTACTTGGATTTATTTCTGATTTCTCGGTTCCATTCTACTGTTCTATGTGCCTGTTTTTATTGTCAGGTCATTTTTTAGAAAACTAAAATTTAATCCATTTCACATAAGTGACATCAGGGTAAATTCCTCATGGGTAAAAGTTTTAAATGTTCCAATTTGTACATATTTTGGTGTTCAGTGCTCTTCTTTTCCTTTCTCTAATCCTCTCATTTTATAATTTGGGTGCAAGTCACTCTTACCCACTGGAGTTAAGTTCTACTGAGGGCAGTGGCTGTGTCTACTAGCATCCAGCCCAGTGCTGTGCACACAGAACATTGCTCTCTTTACACATACATGCATATGGTTGTTTTCCTAACTTGCAGGTCATACCTCCATTCTGTATGAGACTAAGTAACCCAAGCTGCATCAATGCAGCTCTGCTGCTGTGTACTCTAGAGCATGTTGCTAGAGTTCTTTATGTAAAAAGCAGCTTATCATAAAAACATACCACACCTGAAATTCAGCATCTGTCCATGGGACGCTAATATGTGGGACAATCTTTGAAACACTAAGCATACATAAATATATTATTGTATTTTATGATAATACTAAATTATAAATTAATTTGATCTGTGACCATCTATTAAAAGGTTATAAGGATTCCATAGACTGCAAAGCAAGTAAACTGGAAAGTGAGGAAATGTTACTTCCTCTTACCCACCATTTAAAAGAAAAAGCCCCTAGAAAATTTTTCAAGCAGTCTCATGTAAAAACAAAGTGCACAAAAACTGTTCCCTACTCATTGTTGTCATAAACAGGAAAGAGCAGTTTTCTTCACATCTAGGCTATTTCCCAAAAATGAAGAGCTTGTTTCCACTTTCAATCTGACGTGTGTTCAAAATAAAAATAGTTTCAAGTTATTCTAACTTGATATTAGAAATCTTTCACTCACAACAAAAAGTAGAAGAGGGCCTGAGACTTTTCACTTATGAGTACTAATCAGACTTACAGTTAGAAAGAGTAAAGGGAAAGACCTATAGCACCAGAATGTTTCAGTCCACGTTGGCAGAATATAGAACCTCCTACGAACCTAATTTGATCCTAACACACTGATTCATCATTTGAAGAAACCTCAAATCAATCAACTGTCAGAGCCTTGTATCCTAATAAACTGGTATTAGAAAGCCATGAAACAGCCAGGCATGGTGGCTTATGCCTGTAATCCCCATCACTTTGGGAGGCCGAGGCAGGCAGATCACGAGGTCAGGAGTTCGAGACCAGCCTGGCCAATGTGGTAAAAACCAGTCTGTACTAACAATACAAAAATTGTCCAGGCATGGTGGCATATGCCTGTAATCCCAGCTACTTGGGAGGTGAGGCAGGAG